TTTGCTTCTACCCAGGCGGAGACAAACCGAGAGAAAACGAACGCCTGCAGCAGGCTAAACACCAGCAGCATCAGCATCAGCAGCAGCATCTGTATCTGTTGCTGATGCTGTTGCTGCTGCGTCACCATGTTTCATTGTTCTTGCTGCTTCTGCTCTTGCCTTTGCTGCTGCTGCTGCTGCTGCTGCTTCTGCTGCTGTTGCTGCTGCAGCAGGCTGCAGCACTGCAGCAGCAGACACCGAGGGGAGGAGAAAAAAAGGCAGCAGCTCTCCCTCGTTCAGCAGCGACAGCAGCCACGACGTTACACTAACATCTACACAACAAACGCACCACAAACAGCAGCAGCAGCACCACAAACAGCAGCAGCAGCAGCAGTTGCAGCAGCAGCAGCAGCAGCAGCAGCAGCAGTAGCAGCAGCAGTAGCAGCAGCAGTAGCAGCAGAAGGAGGAGGGAGAGCAGCGGCAGCAGCAGCAGCAGCAGAAACAGAAGCAGCATCGAATTGTGCAGCAGCATGAGCATTGCAACGCCGCTGCTGCTGCAGCAGCAGCTGCAGCAGCAGCAGCAGCAGCAGCAGGTGTGTCTGCTGGTCTTTTTGCTGCTGCTGCTGAATCTCTCTCTCTCTCTCTCTCTCTCTTTCTCTTCTCAATAAACAAATAAAACAAAAAAAAATAAACAAATAAAAAAACAAAGACAAAGACAAAGACAAAGAAACAAACAAAAGCTTACGGGTGATAGCGAAGGGTAGTTCTGCTGCTGCTGCAGTGCTGTGTCTGCACAGCAGCAGACAGCGTGCTGCTGCTGCTCTATAAGAAAAAGAAAACAGCAGCAAACAGCAAAGACACAGATCCCCAGCAAAACGAAAGTCACGCAGAGGACTCTGAAAACCCAGAGATGCCCACGTAGATGCTGCTGCTGCTGCTCCCTCCTGCTGCTGCTGCTGCTGCTGCTGCTGCTGCTGCTGCTGCTGCTGCTGCTGCTGCTGCTGTGTGTGTATTTGGGTAGAGGCACTGTGAGAGAGAGAAGGAGGAGGAGGGCCCCCATCCAGCAGGTGCCATACAGATAACAGCTTCTGCAGCAAGCACACGCATATTTATATATTCTTGCTGCTGCTGCTGCTGCTGCTGCTGCTGCTGCTGTTGCTGCTGCTGCTGTTGCTGCTGCAGCTGCTGCTGTTGCTGTTGCTGCTGCTGCTGCTGCTGCTGCTGGTTTGTAGAGGGTTTGGGGCGTACCTGTTCTGTTTCCTTTGAGTGGACATCGAGCTGCTGCTGCTGCAGCTGCTGCAGCAGCAGCTGCTGCCTCTGTGCCTCCCGCAGCTGCAGCAGCCCCTGCTGCAGCAGCAGCACAGCCTGGCTGTCTTCAATGGATGCTTCAGCAGCAACAAATGCTGCTGCTGCTTCGTGGGGAATCGACGGAGACAACGCCACTGACGCCAAACTCTGAGCAACAGCAGCAGCGGCAGCAGCAGCAGCAGCAGCAGCAACAGCAGCAGCAGCGGAAGCAGCAGCAGCAGCAGCAGCAGGGGGGGAGGGGGTTCACAAGATGGGCTCTTTATCTATGTCGCCTTTTGCCGTAAACCCTAAACCCTAAACCCTAAACCCTAAACGCTAAACCCTAGAACGTAAACCCTAAACCCTGACTGCCTTTTGTGTTGTTTGTAAGATCTTTAGGGTTTAGAGTTTAGGGTTTAGGGTTTGTGTTGAGGGTTTAGGGTTTAGGGTTTAGGGTTTGGCTGATACCTCTCCGTTTTTCGTTCTGTGGTCGCGGAGGTAGAGATGCAGCTTGAGAGCGACAGCAGCAGCAGAAGGAGCAGCAGCAGCAGCTGCTGCTGCTGCTGTTGCAGCAGCAGCAGCAGCAGACTGCTCCGCCTGCAGCAGCGGCTGCTTCTGTCTACCTAATACAAACCGCCGGGGTATATCTTGCCACCTGTTTGCTGCTGCTGCTTGTCTTGCTGCTGCTGCTGCTGCTGCTTCTGCTGCAGTTGCTGCTGTTGCTGCTGCTGCTGCTGCAGCAGCAGCAGCAGCAGCAAAACCTGATGATACACCGCAATAGCTGCGGGATGGTGCAGCAGTAAGAGACAGCAGCAAACGCTCTAAGCGACTCCGCCCTAAACACAAACCCTAAACCCTAAACCCTAAACCCTAAACCCTAGAACGTAAACCCTAAACCCTAAACCCTAGTAGTAGGGAGGGGGAGAGAGGAGACAGAGAAAAACAAAAAAAAAGAAAAAAAAGTAAATACAAAACAAATACATCAATACAGACACACAAAACAAAAACAAAAACAAAATAAAAATAAAACAAAAAAAAACAAACAGAGAACAGAAAAAGAAAGAAAAGAGAAAAATAAAGAAAAAATAAAACAAACAAAACAAAGAAGAGAGACAAAATAAAAAGGAGACAAAATAAATAAAACAAACAAAACAGATAAAATAAGTAAAATAAAACAAATGAAACGAATAAAACAAACAAAATAAACAAACAAATAAACAAATAAAATAAATAAATAAATAAAATAAATAAAAAAATAAATAAATAAAATAAATAAAATAAATGAAGACAAACCGGTGACAAAAGACAGCAGCCAATCGATAGGAAGACGGCAGCAGCCGTTTAGCTGCTTCAGCAGCTGCTGCAGCAGCTGCAGCGCCTCAACGCGAGCGCAGCAGCGCCGCGCTTGTCGCTGCTGCTGCTGCTGCTGCTGCTGCTGCAGGTGCTGCGGTTGCCTCTGCTGCAGCTGCTGCTGCGACTGCTGCTGCTGCTGCCTATGCTGCTGCTGGCGTTTCTGCTCCTGCTGCTGCTCCTGCTGCTGCCGCTGCTGTCGTTGGCGTTGCTGTGAAGGCCTACGGGGACCGTTCAGCAGCTGCTCGCGCTCCTGCTGCTGCTGCTGCTGCTGTTGCTGCTGCTGCTGCTGCTGCTGCTGGCGCTGACGAACGGAGCGCCGGGAAGAGGTGGATGGAGGCGCCATGGGGCCGCGTTCAACTCAGCAGCAGCAGCAGCAACAAGAGCAGCAGCAGCAGCAGCAGCAGCAGCAGCAGCAAATGGCAGCAACAGCTGCTGCTGCAGGCCTTACAAATCCGCAGCAGCAGATTCAGCCGCAGACAGCATGACAGTGCAAATGAAGGTAGAAGAGCAGAAGGGGATGCTGCTGCTGCTGCTGCTGCTGTTGCTGCTGCTGCTGTTAATCCTACTGCTGCTGCTGCTGCTGCTGTTACTACTGCTGCTGGTGCGAATCCTGCTGCTGGTGCTGCTGCAGTTACTGCTGCTGCTGGTGCTGACCCTGCTGCTGCTGCTGCTGCTGCTACGAGCAGTATACGGGGGCTACGGGTGAGGGAGGGGGGGCGGAGGCAGCAGCATCAGCTGCTGCTCGATGGAGAGCAAGAGGAGGCAGCAGCAGCAGCAGCTGCTGCTGCTGCTGCTGCTGCGGTTGCTGCTGCTGCTGCTGCCTCTCCTGAAGAAAAAGAGAGAGAGCTGGGATGGAACCAAACCAAACGAGAAGTGGGAGCGGAGCGGAGGCGTCTCCTGCTGCAGCAGCAGCAGCAGCAGCAGCAGCAGCAGCACGAGGAGGGAGAGCGACGGCTGCTGCAGCAGCTCTATTGGTGGCACTTGCTGCAGGAATAGAGAAATAAGAAAAACGGAAAAAGAACAAAAAATACAAAAACAAACGAAACAGAGCCCCAAACGAACGAACACCAGCCAGCAGTTTGCTGCATGCAGCAGCAGCAGCAGCAGCAGCAGCAGCAGCAGCAGCAGCGGGAGCGACTGCAGCAGCAGCAGATCGTGTGTCTCCCGGGGTGAAATAAGACGAAATTAATAAATAAATTAATTTAATTTAATTAAAATAAATTAATTTCAACAGAAGATGACAAACAATCAGCAGGACATGCACAGACAGCCTGCTGCTGCTTAGCTGCTCTCGTGTTGCAGCAGCAGCAACTGCTGCTCTTCATTTTCCTCAAGCCGCTGCTGCTGCTGCTGCTGCTGCTCCTGCAGCAGCA